GCTTGAGCATTTGAAACCCTAAACCCCACTCCAGTGACACACTTCCTCCAGTAAAGCCACACCTACTTCAACAAGGCCACACCTCCTAATTCCTGTCAAATAGTGCCACTCCCTAATGACCAAACATTCAGTCTATGAGCCTGTGGGGGCCATTCCTAGTCAGACCACCACAGACATAGCACCCTGACCCATTTTCCCTGCAGCCCCCCAGTAGCCTTGGATTGGCTACCATCTAGCAGAGAGAGAGCTACCCTCAGTGTGGAAAATACCCTCATGCTGGCTCCATGTGAAGTAACAGAACTTGGTGACAGATGACAAATCATTCAATGACATTTATGTAGAAAGAGCAGTGCCCCCCGATCAAAATCGTGTATCTGAAGACATCTTGGAAAGGGTCTTAGGAAAAGGTCAGACCCTGATCAAGGGCGAGTGGCCCAGTGGCTATGGGTAGCCAAGCAGCTGGCCAAGTGTGCAGCTCAAGACTGAGAATTTGGATGGTGGTACCCAGCACAGCAAGGAGAGGGCGGGATGTCAGCCAGAGCTGATCTAGATAAAACCGGCTGCAGCTTGGCCTGTCCCTATCCCCCAAGTCCCTGAGATCCTGACTTGACATCCACACTCCTTGGGGGACTTCAGGACTGATAGAGATACCCATAGGACCCACTGTCAAGTTTCTTTCCTCTGCCTAGACCCCAAGAAAACAGGCTCAGAATTCAGGGTCCAGCTTCAATTTGCCATTTGTGGGGCACAGGCAGGGCAGTGCCTTGGCTCTGCCGAGTCCGCTTCCTCTCCCCATCTACAGGGACAATGGAAGCACAGACTACAGGGACCACCAGAGACTAAAGATAGCCAGGCCCACAGGGTCTGCAGAACACAGCGGCTGGACGTCAATTCACACTGGATGCTGAGAGTGGCCACTGATTACGCTTCCCCTCCCTGCTGTGGGCCAGGCTGGGGCAGCTGAGTTCCATCTCCCCCAACCACGGCCTGCTGGCAGGTGAGGAAGGAAGAAAGCCCTTTAACAGGGAACCAATGCCTCATCAGGTCAGTTTCGGTGCCAGCCAAAGGACCCTTTCCCCGTCTCCAGTGTTATCTACAGGCCAGACAGGGAGGTGGGAGCCAGGCTGAGCCTCAGCTGTAACCTCAGATGGAAAGCTCCCATGAGCAGCAGAGGCTCAGCCCAGCTTAGGGGAATTTGCTGAAGCTTAGACAGAGAATGGATAAGGAGGAAGTAGGAGAGCCAGATCTATCCCCACATCCCTGCCTGAGTATCAGCACAAGGGGGGTCTGACCTAGGTCACCTGCTCTGGAGGGGCTCAAACAGCAGCCTGCCTCTCAACCCTTGTCCCTCAAATGCCTCAAGAGAACAAAGAGACAAGTGTAGGGAATGGAGCTCCACAGGTTTATAAGCTGAGCCCTGATCCTCGTCATGCAGAGGCCCTTGATTCTGCTCCACACTGAACCCTGATCTTGGTCCTGAGCCTGGGAACACTGTAGACTTTATCTTGAGACCTAGCACAAGCTTATTCCTTATCCTGGCTATTGTCTTAATTACGTTTCTGTTGCTGTGATGAAACACCAAGACCAAGAGCAAATTGGGGAGGAAAGGGTTTATTTGGCTTATACTTCCACATCATATTCCATCATCAAAGAAAGTCAGGGCAGGAACTCAGAAAAAGCAGGAGCCTGGAGGCAGGAGCTGATGCAGAGGCCACATAGGGGTCCTACCTCTGGCTTGCTCACTTTAGCTTGCTCAGCCTGATTTCTTATAGAACCCAGATCCACTAGCTCAGGGGTGGTCCCACCCACAAAGGGCTGGGCCCTCCAACATCAATCGCTAATTAAGAAAATGCCTATAGGCATACCTGTAGTTGGAGCCTGTGGGGGCATTTTCTCACTTGAGGGTCCTTCCTCTCAGATGACTATATCTTGTGTCAAGTTGACATAAAACTAGCCAGCACAGCAACTTATAAAAGAAAGTGTCTAATTGGGCTTACAGTTTCAGAGGGTTAGAATCCATAGTAGTGGAGAAAAGACATGGCAACAGAGACCCCACATTTTGATATGGAAGTAGAAGGTAGAGAGATAGAGAGACATGGGGAACGGCTTAAGTCTTTTGAAACTTCTCAAAGCCAACCCCAATGACACACTTCCTCCAAAAGGCCATGTCTCCTAATCCTTCCCCAACAGTTGTACCAACTGGGGACCATGCATTCAAACACATGAGCCTACGGGTGCCATTCTCATTTAAAACACCACAATTTAACATTGAGTCTCAACTCTGTTCACTAAATGCGTGTGGCCCTGGTCACACACCGAACTCTGTCCATGCTCACATACTGGTCCCTGATCCTGGCCACACACACTGAGCACACTGAACTAGCTCTGAACCTGTCAGCCTCGATCCTCTGCAGCCTGGAAGCTAAGGATCTATGTGCAGTGTGAGTCTGGCTAAGTTGCCTTTCCTTGTCTTTGGGACTCAGTACAGAGCACACCACTTCCAGTGAGAGAATGAGCTCCTTGCCCACAGGGTCTGTACATTCCAGTTCAGGTTGCTGGCTGGAAACCAGATACCAAAGCAGGCAGCTGAGAAGACTGAGGACTTGACTTCCTCTTCATACCTTCCACTCACAGTTCTGACACCCTGAGAGGCAGATCATTGACCTACTTTATAGATGGGGAAACTGAGGCCATAATTCTCTGCTTAGGACACACATGGGGACTATGGATCTTACTACCCTTGCTCACTACTCACTACTCTAATGAGGGCCTAGACATTCCAGGGGCCCTGAAATCAAACTTCTGCCAAAACTCCAGTGACCTGGTGGTGTTCCCATCCTGGTCTGTAGCCCGATCTTGCAGGTACAGAAGAGGCAGGTGGAGTCATGCCTCCTGCATCTGCGGATCTGACGTTTTAGGTGTCCATCAGGAAAAGAAGCCCTTCTGTCCCTCCTTTTGCTCTCCCTAGGCCTCCTGAGAGCCATTCCAGTGTCTAGGATGGACCGGAACATACAATTGAGGGACCATGATCCTTCCCTGTCTTCTTCCCAGGTCCCCCAGGTCTCAGGGGTCCAGTCAGCAGAAAGATATGTTGTGGTCCTGAGTCTCAGCCAGCAGGGAGCCAGTGAGGGATGGAGGGTGCCAACATGCTGGTCTCAGTCCCCACCCCTATATAAATATGCAGGCTTTACAATTTAATAAAAAAACATACCAATTATAAAAGCTATTTACCCAGTCAAATCAATCATAGGCCATGGCGTGTTTATGTCTGAACACCTGATTTCAGCTCATAAGTCAGTTTTATGCCCTCTTTAGGAGTTAACAACCCCAGTGAGCACTTCAAGTGATGGCACCTACCTACCAGGCCTGAACCAGTCCTCAGGCCAGTTCCATGCACAGGCCCATCCCACGCAGGAAGCCTAGGAGCCCAGGACTGGGACCAGAGCTTTGAGACCTCAGCCTGCTGTCCTTACAGGCAGGAGCCACATGTCACCTTCTTCAGGAAGCTCTCTGCGTTAGTGACTTTTCTCCTCGGTGTGACCACATACTTGTGTAGAAACAACTTGAATGGGCGAGGATTATATTTTAGCTCACAGTTCAGGAGGTAAGGTTCATCCTGGCAGAGAAAGTTCTCAGCCGGGGGAGCAGGAACACAGGGATGCTGACTCACATCTGGGAGGACCAGGGAACAGAGGGAGATGAACGCTGGTGCTCAGCTACCTTCCTCCCCCAATTCTGCAGCCTGGGATCCTGTAGGATGGCACTGCCCACCCTGCAAAGAGGTTCTCTTCCTGGACCCCAGCAAAAGAAAAATGAGTTTATCTTATGGCTTCAACACACACAGGGCCACCATCCAGGCCTGTTGTGGTGGGAGGATCCCAAAGAGATCAGAGGTCCCACTCTCCCCTGGCACTACAGTCCTGCTTGAGGTCAGGATAAGGATAGGTGGCCTTCAAGAGATAGGCTCTTCTGGACCCTGGTCAGCTAAAGCATCATGTTGATGGGAGGGAGCTCAGGGCCAAGGTGACAGCTGGGACAATTTGGGGGTGAGACAACCGTGGTTGCTGAGCATAGGGTGTGGTAGAAGGGGTCCACTGTTTCATAATCTGTTCCCGACATTTTCCTGGCTGGTGGCTTCAGGCAGGTTTTCGGACCTCTTGGAGATTCTATTTCCTTTTCTGCGCAATGAGTAGGCATGGGTTGGAGTGAGTCAATGTGACTGTGTCTCAGTACACGTCTGTAGTATGTGTTTCCTGTGCCCCCACCTTCCTGAGTGGCATTGATTGTGGGGCCAGTTTGGCTGAGAAATGCATAGACTCTGATAGTCCATACTCTTAGGTTCGAGTCCCCGCTCTGCCGCTCAGTGTGTGATGCTGGACAGGTCCTTTAGCTTCTTCGTGTCTCAGGCCCCCTTATGAAAACTCAGGTACCACAAGAAATACCTATTAAGGTTGGAGATGCATTCTAGAATGGAGACACGCTAGCTGGAGCTGAAGCAGCCATACTGAGCTACAACAAAAAGCTAAAGGCACGGGATAAAGCAAGCCAACCACCACAGCAGGGAATTCGGTCTATGGCCGACATATTCTAAACCTTCCCCAAATGCGGGGCCTTTGGCATCTGTTAGGTGTAAATACAATACAGAGGCGTGGCCTGTGCTGCCCTGGCAGTGTGACTGTGAATGCGGCAGGTAGTGCCTGTGTGCCACTTGCGGTGTCTCTAACAGGGGCCATGGAACGGCTTCTCGAAGAGAGGCTGAGACACGGGGTGTAAGTTGTGTGCCAGGGTGCCTGCCACAGGGCAGGGTTCACAATGGCCCAGTTAGCTCGCTGTGGGTGCCTGCTGTGTATCATGACCAGCTAGGCGGTTTGCACATTTTACTCTATTTAATCCTGCTAATGTCGTGTTGGGTTTTTTTTTTTTTTTTTAATAAAGAAACTTGGTAAACATTTCCTGCTTCTCTTTTTGCAGCAGTTAAACTCAGTGGCAGAACACAGACTCAGATCAGCAGAGGTATAAATGAATGGAAGGCCCCTCCGCCTTCTTTTTTTTTTAATATTTTTTCTTATTGATTCTTTGGGAATTTCATATCATACACCCCAATTCCATTCATTTCCTAGTCCTTCCATGTCAGCCCTCTATCCTTGTAACCCCTCCCTGGAAACAAACAAACAAACAAATAAATACATAAAACAAACAAACAAAAACCAAAACCACTTTGCTCCTCCATCTTTCCCGCCTCTCCATCACATATTCCTTTGTCGTAGTGGTATTGGGAACTGTGGTGTGTCACACAGTAGATCCTTTTCTCCAAACAGTTTTACTTGCAGACATCCATTGTGTAATGAGTTGTTGGTTAGGTTCAAGGCATCTGGCTTCTGCTACACTATCAATACTGGACCCTCACTGAAACTCCTCTCAAATATTCTACAGTTGCCCTGAGTCACGGAGATCCCGTAGCTACAGTTCCCTCAAGACCAGTCCCTTCATGCTCCAGCAGTCATAGATGGGGTAGACGTTAGAGTGGACCAACTCAAAGCCCTGGATGTGGCAGCTGAGTTGGACAGTCCAGGCTTCCACCAGAACCACCTCCCAGGGCTGGAGAGGGGCATGACAAGCTCTCCTGTGCCCAGGCCACCGAGCCAGCTCTTCTGCACCCATGCCATTGGAGGCAGCTCTACCATGAGGGGCAGGGACAGCTCTCCCATGAGTGGTGGGGCCAGCTCTCCTTCTGTGGCCACTCATGGGGGGTGGGGCCAACTCTCCCATGCCCAGGTCACAGGAGCCAGTTTTCCAGTGCTCACCACCAGGGCTGGCCCTCCTGTGATTGGCGGAGCCAACTCTTTCCCCTCTGTAGCATCTAGCAAGGTGCAGGACCAGCTTAGTACAGACCTTGGACATCAGCTTGGCTTCAGGAGGCAGTCCAGACCACAGGCACGTGCACGGCCCCCAGTGGTAACATGGGCCACAGACATTAACACAGACCCTGGCTACAGTAGGACCACATACCCAGACATGACCCTTGGCCACAGCTCAGGCCTGGACATCATCATAGCCTTGGGTGGCAGTGCAGTCCACTCAGATCAGTACGACCCTGGCAGCAGCATGGCCCTTGGACACCAACATGGCCTCAGGTGGCAGCCCAGATCCCGGGCATCCATAAGGCCATTGGTGGTAACACAGGCCACAGACATCAACACAGCTACATAGGGCCACAGACCCAAACATGGCTCTCGGCATCAGCACAAGCTGGAACATCACATGGCCCCAGGCGGCAGCCGAGGTCACCCACATCAGCCTGTTCCTCATGGCCTTCAAATCTTCAGTTCTGCCTCTTTCCACAACACACAAACCACGCCACTTCTCCTTTTCCCCCCATTTCTCCACCACATATTTGCTCATCATCGTGGATCTAACTACCTGGGCCATGAAGCACCAGGCAGGCTTGTTCCCTTCTTCCTTTTTAAAGGGTCTGTGCCAGCTGGCCAGACCTGGCTTGTTGGCTCTGTGGCACAGGGGCTGCAGGACCTCAGTCCTTTGGCATTGGTGTGCCAAACATGGCTTCCATTTCCAAAGCCTCTTCACAGAGCAGAAGATCTGCTGCAGCCCCAACAAAGGCCTTCTGGGCCACAACGGGAGAGAAAGAGTTGAGAGTGTCCTCTGACTGCTTGTTGGGGCTCCCAAGCCCTCCAGAGTCAGCTTACAAACCATTTGCAAGAATCACTCATCACGTGGCTATACCTATGCAAGGGAATCTGTAATAGTCTTTGACTGTATGTGCTCCTGCTAAACCGTGTCTTCAAGAAAGGATGGAGATCAGAAGAGAACCAGATGCCTCAGACACACACACACACCAGCTCCTTACTAATTCTGCATCATTTTTGGTTGCACCAGGAAGCTTCTGCTCAGCTTAAAGTAGCATCATTTCTCAGTTTCAGGACTATGGCTGGCAGAAGCATGTGGCTCACTTGGTAGAATACTTGCCTAACATGTTTAAAGCCCTGTCCTCCATCCCCAGCACCACACTCCTGTAATCCCAAGCACTTGGGAGGTGGAGACAGGAGGATCAAGGTCATCCTTGACTACACAGGAAATCTGAGGTGATCGTGGGAGAGATGAGACTGTGTCTCAAGTGAATAACAAAAACCAAACCAAACCAACCAACCAACCAAAACAAAGCAAAACACCTACCCCACAAATGAAAAAGATTGCTGGCGCTTTGAGCTGCATGGGCCTTTGTCCTTGGGTTGGAGTGGCCTGCATTTTGTGCAGGGCAGGATGTTATGGGTTAAATATGAAATGCCACAGGATCGTGTGTTTGAACACTTGCTCCCCAGCTAGGGGCAATGTTTTTATTGACTGTGGAACCTCTAGGAAGTAGAGTCTGGCTGGGGGAGGGTCACTGGGGGTGGGACTTGAGGATTAAAGACTGGCCCACTTCTGATGCAGATATGTGAGTGAGTTATGACTAAGTCTCCTAGTACTGTGGACCATGAACTTCTACTGTGATGGGCTGTTCTATCTAACCATTGGGCAAAATACACCCTTCCTTCCTTAAGTTGCTTCTTGTCCAGTATTTGGTTACAGGAATGAGAAAATAACCACTCTAGATATCAAGTAGTCCCTGGCCTTTATCCCAGAGGCCAGTAAAACCCCCTCTGTGACAAACGTTATCAGTTCCTTGAGGTTAGGGGAAGTAACCAGTCCTTGCTTAGGAACCTTGGATTTAAAGCAAAAATGGAGGAAAGATGTCTGGAGAAGCAAGGTCCCTAGGGACAGTCATTGGGCATTCTGTGTTCCATTCCAGGAGCTATCCACTCTCCAACCCTCTGCAAAGGTGGTCCAGGTCACAGTGCCCCTCACAGGCCGGAGCTGAAAGCAGATAGCTTTCACGTACCAAGTGGGTCCCTGATTTGGTATTCTCAAGACCCATTCCAGAATCTGGAATCCTGGCACCAAAGGGATCAGAGCATCAAGACTTCAGGGGAAGAGGGCAGGGCCAGCAGATGGCTCGGCAGGTAAAGGTGCTTGCTGTCAAGGCTGGCGACATGGGTTTAATCTCCAGAATCCGCACAGAGGAGGAGAGAACTGGCTTCTTCAAGTTGCCCTAAGACCTCCACACGGGCACCATGGCATATGTGCCCGTCCACCCCCACATACGCATACAGTGAGTAAATAAAATGTAATAAAAAAGGAAAAAGAGGGCACTTTACAGCCAGACAAGCAGGAGACACCAGTACAAAGGGAAAGGATAGCAGACGAGCAGGAACTTCTGCAGTCCGGAAGAGGAGGCACGTGACAAGCAATTCTCACGGGGGTGAGAAAAGCTGCCAGCAAAGGCTTTCGAAGGGTTGATAGCTTTAGTGTGTAACAAGTTTATAAGAAGTCCCAAGTAACACTCACAACCCCAAATAGATTACTGGCCCAAGTACACGGCGACCCAGCCCACAGGAACCACAAATGTAATTAGGAAACTAACACGGAGAAGTGCTCCCCTCACTGGCAATAAAGGTACACATTTGGACAAAGCACCGAGTCTGGAGCTCGCGGGGGAACAGGCATTAAAGTGTGGCAATGGCTGACATGTGAGGTGGGGCTGTGAGCTGTGTGCTCAAGGTGGCACGGAAGGAGGGCAGGGACCCCCAGGGGCAAGCAGACAATTGTCAACCCATGTCACACTTGCGGAGACGCTCCCGGAGGCCAGTGAGATAATTGCCAGGATGCCGTCCCAAGAAAGCAATCTGAAATACAAAAATATGTATTTGCAGCAAAATAATTAGAACCAACCTAAGTGTTTGAACGTGGGGGGATGTTTAAGTAAACGGTGGTCTACCCACTTGAGAGAATATTACAGCCATTAAAAAAATAACGTTTGTGAGGAGTGTGCAAAGGAATGCTCCCAGGGAGTGAAAAGGAGGAAGCTAATAGGTAATATAATATGATCCAATTCTAGCTATGCAGAATAAAGACATCACACCATATTAAAAAAGGCAATGAAACAAAGTGCATTAAAAATAATGGAAGGCCCTGCCTTCAGCATTGGGTTTGGCTGTCTTTTGCCTGGTGGGTGTAGGTATAGTTTTATTTACTCCTATTTCCCACATTTCTCCGTACCTGAATTGCTTTGCCTTGCCAGACAGACATATTTTGCAAAAGCCTCGCAAAGCACAAGAGAAATGTTTTGTGGTGGATGATTGGTGCATGACCTGGGGGCTACACCACGATTAGTAAGCCATGAAAAATAAATGACAGGAGAAGTCAGGCTTGCTGAGAGTACCCCGCCTTTGTGTTCTCCCAGCCCAGGGACCCCTCGTCAGGTATGTGGTTGGAGGTAGGTGTGAACATGCCTAATAAATCCGTGCAGGCAAGGAGGTGTTAGCCACCAGGGACCCTGGTTGCCTTCACAGGGGCACGTGCTGAACTGTAGACACAAATTACAAGCTTGAGAGGTATTTGTGCGAAGACATCTCTTCCAGGCACCAACCTTGGGGGAGACCCAGATTTCACATTAACAACACAGCAGCTATTCTGACCTTTAGTCTCTGACTGTCACATATGCAGGGTCTTTAGATGTCCCCTCTGTGTCCCTGGTCCCAGCTTAATTACTGGTCATGTCCTGGTTTGGGTGAGAAATCACAGAATTGCCCCATCCTTCCTGCCTTCCGAGGGGGTGTTCACGTGCTCCATGGTGACTGGCCTCCGGTGGATCTTCCACTTGGCACTCAGGATCTAGGAAGGACCCAGGGATGCTTAGAGGAGCCTGGGCGATTGTGGAATTACTGAACAATTCAAGGGCCAGCTGGAGGCCACAGGGCATGCCAGAATGGCCGCCGCATCTCAGGCCACCCCTCTGCAGATGTGGCTCATGGCCTGCTGGAAGCTAAGTTGCCCTCAGCAATCCCTGGCACCTGGTTTGATCAGGGGCATGGCTTCTGCCACTTGATCATACCCAGCCAGGCCTTCTGAGCTGGCTGCATGTGGCCACACTGCTGCCTCCCAACTGCCTATTAATAGTTGGGGGATGCTGGGGCAGCCAGTCACACGGGGTGGGAGGCTGGTATGGTGATTGGTCGTTGTCTCTACGACAAACTATTTGAGCAAATGACCCTGGAGGGGGAAAGACTTAACTTTGGCTCATGGTTTTAGTCCATGGTTAGCTGGCATGGTTAATCTGTGGTAAGGTGGAGTGTCATTGTGAAGGAAGAGTGTGGTCAAGGAAAGCTGTTCACTTTGTGGTGGCCATGAAGTAGAGTGAGAAAAGAGGAACCAAGAACAAGACACCATTCCAGGGCACACCCCGGTGAGCTACAACCTCCAACCAGGCCCCTCCCCAGAGTTACAGCCATCTCTTTCTCAATAATGCCACCTAAAAATGCAGCCATCATGAGGTTAACACATTGAGGTCAGGACCCCCACAGTCCAATCTCCATCAACATCCCATCAGTTGTCAACCCTTGAGTCTACAGATGACATTTCAGACTCAAACCCTCATGGTGGTCGCTGATTCTGGACCAGGAAGTTTCCCTTTCTCCTGAATTTTGATGATCCCATGTCCTCATGGGGAACTTCCTACCTGTAATTAAATCTTCTGCAGCCAAGCGACCCACGTTGGGAGCAAGCGTGACCTGCATGGCCCAACACCATCACAGGGCAGGTCCTCTCATCACAATGGTAGTCTGTGATCTGGACACATCTTAGGGAAGCTGTGGTCATCTACACTGAGCAGGATGATGCTCTCTCCCTGCTTTTCCCTCCAGGGTGGTACAAACAGTAGGAGTGGCAGGCACAGGAGCCTGAGAGTCCCTCAGCACCTGGCCAGTCCTAAATCCACGGGTGATGCTGCACCAGTGGTCATTCCTGCCCTACTCATCTGAAGATTAGACACAAGGTTAAGATGCCAGAAGCCCTATGTAGGGCTCACTCCTACTTGCTATGTGGTAGCTGTGGGGCCTTAGGCAAGCATCTTACTCGCTGGAGCCTTAAACAATTCACCTTCAAATGGGATCACAGTTCTGATACCCTGGGCAGTCATGGGGATTCTGAGGTCAGAGCTGACATCAAGGATCCCTAACCACAAAAGCTTCAGAGGAGCAGCTCACTCATGCCACAGGCAGTCCCCTTTCCCAGGGGACAGAGAACAGCTGCACACATCTCACCTCTGAGTGTTTTCTGGGGCAGGGAGCCACCTACCTGTCTTGGCTACCCTTGTCTTCTTACCTGCTGTAGAATAATCCTCTTGTATACTGTAAACATTTGTCACTTGAATTGGTTTAATAAAATGCTGATTGGCCAATAGCCAGGCAGGAAGTATAGGTGGGGCGACCAAATTAAGAATGCTGGGAAAGGGGAAGGGCAGAGTCAGGAGTCATCAGTCAGACACAGAGGAAGCAAGATGAGAATGTCATACTGAGAAAAAGTACCAAGTCATGTGGCTAAACAGAGATAAGAATTGTGGGTTAGTTTAAGTGTAAGAGCTAGTGAGTAATAAGCCTGAGCTACTGGCTGAGCATTTATAAATAATATTAAGCCTCCGAGTTATTTGGGAAGTGGCTGCTGGGTATTTGGGAGTTGCTGGTGGGACAGAAACTTCCATTTACACTTACCTCCTGTCATCCTTTCTTATATTTTAAAAACGATTTCTACAGCGTGGAAGGTTCCCGTGACTGCGTCTGGGGGCAGCTCCATCTATGGCCTTTTAGACTCACTGAGTGACCCAGGTGGTGTGGCTATCTAGGGAGGCTAGACATGCAGCAGAGCCATGTGCTCAGAAGGAGAGGGTATCAGAGGCTGTGGAGCATGACAAGTAACATTCAATGCAGCGCCCAGTTGACACTTGGCCATTCCCACAGGCTGGAGTTGGGGCCTTTGTTCAGATGGGTGAGCTGCTGTGAGGTGGTGTGGAGTGGCTTGCTTCCCCAAGGAAAGTGCTCTGGGTTCAGGAAAGGCAGCTTTTCTTAAAAAAAAAAAAGGAGTCTTTAGCTCATCTCAAACCCACACTAGCTAGGCTTTAAGTAACTGTAAAATTTCTATGTGTCTCTCTCAGGCTCCCAACCCTGAAGGTGCTACCCAAGCAAGGGAAAGACAACAGGAAGGAATATCCTATACAGGGATGAAGAAGGTCATCTTAGAGTTCTAGGTATCATAGAGACCTCTGTGCTGGTTAGGATCATGGTCAGTTTCTGCTCCAGGCCTGATAATGTGTAGGGAGTATGGTCAGGCCAGGGCTGGAAACCCACTCCTCACCAGGACATATCCCTGCCCAAAGTAGATGCCAGGGACATTTCAGGGGCTCATTCTTCCCTCGCTAGAGCAGTTGGGGGGGGGCTGGAAAGGAGGAGAAGAAGGGGAATAAAGAGGTGTGTGTGTGTGAGAGGGGAGTAGTGAGGAGAGAGTAGGTAAGAGAAAGAGAGTAAGAGAGAGAGAGAGCAAGCAAGCATGAGAGAGAGAGAGAGAGAGAGAGAGAGAGAGAGAGAGAGAGAGAGAGAGAGAGAGAGAGAGAGAGAGAGAGAGAAGAGCAGATGAAGGCTGAACAGCAGCAGGGAGGGGCAGGCTGCTAGCCTGGGGCTACAGGGAATGGTGGAGCAGGCTCCTTCCAAACCACAGGCTGTCAAACAGTCTAGTGGCTTCTTCCCCTTCTTGCAAATCCCTCTCCCCAGCGCCTCTCTCATGATAGTCCGAAGACTTAAGCACCCCCAGGGGATCTCTGAGCACCCAAGATTCCTAAGGAAAGGCTAGTTGCTGTGACCTCCCACCCCATGGCCTGTCCTTCACAGACTGCCTTTGTCCTTCACGTGGAGAGTAAGCCCGAATCACTGTCACGACTTCAGAGGAGCCTGCACCAGCCCAGGGACCCCACCCCCTGCAGACTCCGGTCAGGGCAGACAGGCATTGAGGGAACCTGCCTGTGCTCTGGAAGGAGAGTTCCTGCTCTCTGTAGTCTTCTCCTTCCTGCCCAGGCCTCTGAGCCACCGGAACCTCCAAGACTCGCATCTCCCAATGCTTGTCGAGCTGTTGGGATGGCCTAGAAGGGTGTCATCCATCCCCTAGGTTCCATTCCACAGGGACAGGATTGCTGGGCACTGCTGTGCCCACTGTGGCATACACGCCACACTCTTCGGTCAGGCTTCTTCCCAGGGCAGGCAGGCAGGAACGTCAAGGCCAGCTCCTCAGGCAGACCGAGGCAGGCATTCCCCCTGCAGTGCTGGGGTCTAGAGGATGATGGGGCCAAGGGAAAATGTAGCTGCTCTGGGCAAGGAGAGCCTGGCTCTGGGGAGGGCATCATCATAGCGAGGATAGTCAGCACTGGGTCCCTCGGCAAAAGCAGGAGCCACTTCAGGATACGATGTAAAGGGCAGTTCCCAGAGCACAAGGTCTTGGCCCATCTGAGGTTCCAAGGCAGAATTAGTACTCAGCCTGGGCTCCTGCACCCAGCCCGGAGATAGCTGTCTATTCTGGGTGTTGCTGGTCCCCTGGGTACAGATGGGACTGTTCTGAATCCCATCTTGAGGCTTAGAACCTGACAAAGAAATGCTGGAAAGAACCCGAGTCCCAGACACTGCTCTGATGTCTGCCCTGGCCTGGCCTAGGACCCCATCCGCCAGTGCAGGATGTGTGTGTCCTTGTGGGCCTCGAGAGGTGGTGCAAAGCCATCATGCAGACTAGAGAAAAATGCGGCCTCCGACATGCTGGACAATGTGTATTTCCCTACAAACACAGGCCGTTTCTGCTTCTGTCGCTGGCAGACAGTTTAAGACTATTTCTGATTTACTCCCATGTCCCAGCTTGCTTGTGGCCCACTTTCTTCTCCTTCCCAGAGGGCCTACACCATGTTTCTAAAATGTCTTCTTGGCACCGTTACCATCCCCCTACACACACACACACACACACACACACACACACACACACACACACATACAGGGTTCTGAGGACTGCCCTGAGTCCCTTGGATTAGGCAGGAAAGTCCCCTGTGACCTCTTACCTCTCACCTTTGTGATCAGATCCTCTGCTCCTGCAGGTGCTTTCTCAGCCAAGAGCCATTGAGCTCTGTCCTCTGTCTCTCTAGGTCCTTTGTCCTGGTACTCTGGGAGGGTTTGCACCCTACTTGACTCCAGCTATTCCAGGTCTGCATTACAGAACCCAGGGTCATGAGAACATCATTAGCTTCCCTTGTAAAGCCCCCTGACAACAGAGGTCTCTCTCCCTCAATCCCTTCTTTCCTCCCTTCCTTCCTTCCTCCCTCCCTCCCTCCTCCACCCCCATCTGCCTCTCTCATTCCCTAAGTTCTACACTCTTTCCTTCCCTCCCCTCTCTCCCCTTCCTCCTCATATTGCCTGCCATATTCTAGCAATTTCTTCAGTATTTGCAAAAGAAAGGAGGACTGTCTGTGTGTGTGTGGAGGTGGGGGTGTTCTTCAGAGGCAGGGCTTTCTGACACCTGACAGCACCCTGTAGCTTGGTGCCACTGGTTTTAGGGGTTATGGCATTTCTGTCCTGCCTCCCTCTCAGCCCTATGTGGCAGCAGCCCAGGGTGACAAAGGAAATCCACCTGCAAAGTGAGGGGGTGGCAGGCAGTCCCCAGGCCTCCCAGCCCTGAAAGCTCTTCTATTTATAACACCAGCCCCATGCCGGCAGTTGCTATTCAACTCAGGGGAAACTGCGAAAGAAAATCCTGTAACAGAATTTATTCTTCCTGGTCCTCTTAAGAAATCTCACCTCGAACATGATCTCTGTGTCCAGAGACTTATCGGCATCTCCTTGGGGCTGGCTCACCAGGCCTTGTCACCTGATTGGCTCCTGACACTGGCAAGGATGGGCCACCCTTTGGCATTGTAGAGATGTAGAGTTGTATCATTGTTTCAGGCAACAGAAGGACGTTGGGCTCCAAGGTATGGGTGGGCCACTCAGTGGTCACAGTGACTTTAGGGGAGAAGATGAGGTGGGCTGGAGCTGCGCATCATTATGAAGTTGACCGTTACGGTGAACCAGAGTGAGGCCTGGAGCAGGGGTTTTCATTCCCTGCTTGTCTTTTCTTAGGAACATCCCTCTTCCAGCCCAAGAGTCTGCATTCTCACCCCCCCACCTCACACCCCCCCCCCCCCCCCCCCCCCCCGCTACTGGCTCCCGGGCAGCATGGGTTCTTCTTCCTTTCCCAAGGAATCTTCTTCAGCCCTCCCCATTCTCAGTCCATGAGACTGGCCACACCCCCACCCTGTTTCCATGTATTTGGGGTTATGCTTTCCTGGTTGTTCAACAAGTGTCTGTCAGCGGACTGCAGAGGCTGTTTCTGGAGCTAGGACCTTGGCCTGAGGGGGTTAACCCTAGCCATGGTGGACCCAGGCTGAGCAGGCCCTGTGACTGCTGTAGGTAGGGAGCACTTGCTGACAATAGAACCACAGCCCCCTGGGCCCCTGGAGCAGAGCCAGCCTTAAATGCAGATGAAGGAGGCAGTCAGCTACCCACACAGCCTGCGACACAGCAGTATTTTTAGAACAACTTTCCCTCTGTTTCTCTTGGTAGGAGAGAGGTGTGTGGACGGCAAGGCTCCTCTCTGCGTGCATCCTCGACGCAGCACCACCCACTGCATGCTCCCAGGCACTCAGTGCCTCGTCCCACTCTGCCGGGGACACACGAGTATAGAGGGCTTAGGGCCGGGGTGCATACTGGGAAGGTTTTAACTCCAGAGCCCAATCCTTGGGACAGTCCTATCTCCTGGCCATGCAGTATACAACGTCCCCATTTTCACGGCTTGCTGCCCTGAAGCCAAGATAGCCTTCAGTGAAGGGAGACAGGGTTGGCCGCGATGTCCAGAGAGGGGTAGTTTTTCAGGTCCCTGAATAGGGTACCAAAGGCTTTGATGGAATCCCTCTTGTCCCTGACTACAAAGTAGAACCAAAGGAGTTTGAAAAGTGCCTCTCTCCAGGGTCTACCCCGGGTTTGGTACAATGGAGTCCTCTGTCAAGACAATGGCTTTGATACATTATTTATTCACTTTTATTTTTATTTATTTTCCTGGCAGTACTGGACATTGAACTTAGGTCCTGGCACCCGATAGACAAGGGCCTCCACTGAGATACAAGCCAAGCTCTTTCTTTACTTTTATTTATTTATTTATTTATTTATTTATTTATTTTTGTTTTTTTGTTTTTTCGAGACAGGGTTTCTCTGTGTAGCTTTGCGCCTTTCCTGGAACTCACTTGGTAGCCCAGGCTGGCCTCGAACTCACAGAGATCCGCCTGGCTCTGCCTCCCGAGTGCTGGGATTAAAGGCGTGCGCCACCACCGCCCGGCGCTTTACTTTTATTTTGAGACAGACTTTCACTAAGTTTTCCATGATGGCCTTGACTTACAATCTTCCTGTGCCATAAAGCCCAGCTCCTGCTTGACTTTTATCTGCACAGAAGTTTCTTCGACACAGAGTTTTCCCAGGTTAGATCCTAATGAGGCTGGTGATGGCAACCATACAGTAACGACATCACTGGGCGGTGAGGGCTGGGGACTGCTGTGGTCCATTATGTCAGACTCCCTGGGAGTTCCGTATCTATTCTAAACTGACCAAGATTGTCAGCACCTTGTCTTCCTCGGTGTTACTAAGGGTGCTTAAGCTGCCCACAGAGACTAGACAAGGATCCTGTGGGCTGGGGGGTGAGGCTCCTCATGGTTGTCCTCTTGTCTGTCCCTTCTCTTGGACAGCTGCTTTTCTGTCTGTGCCCAGGTGGGAGGATTGGAGCATTACAAGCTGTTGCCTGGATCTGCCATTCTTTGACTATATAAAGGGTGACTTGTGCATGCAGAGGGCCTGGAAGGTCTTCGATACCCTTGGTGGGAACCTTCCTCTTCCCACCAAACTCTTGCTGATGTCCCGGACTCATCCATTCAGCTCTGAGCTTTCCTTCCCTCTCGGCCCAGAGTCTCCATGTAGTCACTGACCAAACATCTCCAGCATCCCCGGCAGGGCAGGTTGGTGGGTCCCACTGTCAGCAAGAAACCTGATGCTTCTACCTGGAAGACAATAATGAAAGCGGAGGAGCCAGCAGGAAGGACCAGGAGTGTAAGGAGCAGGCTGTTCTCCCTCGAGGCTGCTAGATCCTTCTGCAGGCAGGATCTCCAGAACGACACATTTGTCAAAATTATGACCCAATTAGGCAGCAATAACTGGTGTCTATGACCGTCACACACGTAATCGTTGGTAATATCACTTGGAGATAAAGGCTGAATGATGGGGCAGGGCTGGCTGTGGAGGGAGGGGGAGGGGCACATGGTTCTCTTTTTCAAGCCTTTGAGGGACCACCAGGTGAGTCAGATGCCAGCTTCCAGTGACACTGGTACATGGCTTCTGAGTCACGCCTTTTGTTGTTGGTATTTGGTTGTCTGGGAAGAGCAGGCTGTGACTAACACCAATCTACAACATCCCTTGGCTCCATTTTTCTGTCACTACTGAGTCCTTACAGGAGATCCCATGGGGTCTCCCTAAGATGTCAGGCAGGTATTCATCCATCCGTAAGTCAGGTCTGTCCCTGGCTGTGATGACCCAGATCCATGTTGCAGCATTCAGTCTCCTATCCATACTCCTTAGCCCTTTTGTTCTTTTCCGTGCTCTAGGCTTTTCTGCCTCAACTTTGCTGCATCTCTGCCAGGCATGCCTTCTTCAAACCCTCAGACCCACCTGTCACGTGACAGCCATTGTCGGTGCTTGGTGTCCACTTTGACTTTCTCCTTTATCAGGTTAGACATACCTGGAACCTGCAGGCCAGGATCCCAGTCCACCCTTCACCCGCCACCACCCCCACCATAAATGTCACTTCTTACCTGTACACACACATGACTAGTGGGATCGGGTGATCAATGCCCAACCCCAACGTGACCCTGAGCTTCTTGTGGGTGAGGGCCTGGCTGTCCTGTATCCTCTGCACTGGTGCCTGGTGCAAGCTGACTGGAGACTGAGTTCCACAGGCCCTGACGACCAGCAAGACTCTCTCCTTACCTGTCATTTCCATCTCCTCTGCCCACTCATGAGGTCTCCCTGGGACTGCAAGGCTAGCCTTTGACACCTCCAGTTCCTCCTGGGACTCCTCTGAAGCTCCAGGTTCTTGGAGTGAATTGGGCCATGTCAGACTCTAATGTCTGCATTTGCTCCTAAGCCTGGGAGAGGAATGCGCATGACCCATGTGCGTCTCTTGTTCCCCATGGCTTACTTTAGTATCACCCATCCTTTTGGATACCACATCAGATTCAAGAGAGACAGGAACCTTGCCTGGGGTGCAGCTCAATAAGGTTTACCCTGCTCAGCCACCAGGCCCAGGGTTCAGGCCTGGGAGGCCTGGAGCTCTACAAGCAGAAAGGGCTGAGTACAGCCATGCCCCTGGGGAAATGGGAGGCCACTGTCCCCCATGTCCAGGCTTGGATGGACAGAGTCACCATCCTGCCACACTGAGGCTAATGGGCTGCAGACCCTGAGACAGGCAGAATCCTCACCTGGAGGTGTGGATGGGCGGGGGAGACAGCCAGCATTGCCCCGTATCCTGAGAGCCTCAGGATGGGTGGGGTGGCCATGGCTGTAATGATCCAGCTAGAATGGCCTCTCTCTGGCTCACTCAGCTCTCTAAAGCAGTGTATCTCTGAAGCACAGCAAGGAGCACAGACAGACAGGAAGGATTCTGGGCACCAGTGGAAAAGGCTAGCTCCCCAAACCACCTGGTTCCATGATAATGAGTGTGTAAGGCTCTTCCAGTGACCAGGCCTTCATACATACAACCATTTGGTGGGTGCTAGGTGGGTCATTTGCTAACACCTGCTTTCATGTAGCCCAGGCTGGCCTTGAACTTGCTGTGTCTTCAAAGGATGACTTCATCCTCCTCAGCCTCCCACCTCCATCATCCAAGTGCTAGGAATACAGGTATATACCACTCCTTCTGGTTTATGGGGTGATGAGGATTAAACCCAGTGCTCTGCAAATGCCAAACAAACACTCAGCTGAGACATAGCCCCAGCCCTTTCCCACCATTTTCTTTTTGAGCTTCCTTCCCAGTCCGTGCAGGCCCCCTTCTCATCCGGGCCATCTCCAAGGCTCTCCTACATCCTTGAAAGGTTCTCCAGTGCCCACTGAAATATCAAAACATCTCTGAGGTATCAGTTGGGGCTTGCTCTCCTTGCTGGGATGAGAGATTCTGCTATGGGTGGGGTTTTGGGTCCCCACAGAGCTCTCATCCCACTCCAGGCCTGTGGCTGCTCTAGGCTGGACCTTTTTGCTCTGGTCTTTCTCTATGCCTAAAGAATAGACCACTGAGAGATAGGCTATGCTGATACTGGCCAGGGTTGGAGGGAGGAGGGAAGATTAATTGGTTCTCATTAGCCCAGGAGTCAATTTGCAGACATCCGGTAAGAGCCCCTGAAAAGAAAGCTGTTGACAAATTGGAGTATATTCAAACCAAACAGCGAGGCTCTTGAGGGACTGAGTAAGGACTGGAGAGCAGCAAGCGATGAGCTGTAGCTCATGGTTGGTTGAATCTCACATAGATCTCCATTAGGGGCTTGGGGCTACCTTTGCCTACTCACCCCACACACCCTGCTGATTAGACAGCTATTCTCTGATCTCACCCATGAACACAGTGGGGCTCCTCCAAGTGTCAGTGAACCTGACCAAGTAGGGGCAGGGTAGCCAGGACCCAGAGCTCACCTGCCTTGTCCCCACAGTGATATCTGGGCCTCCTAGCTCATGGCTACCTCTGTCAGGACCCAGGTCTCTCTCTCTTCTGGTTTCCAGTCTCCTCATCCATCAGCTACACACCTTCAGTGCAGGGTTCCACCATAAGAAGGCTGAAAGGGCTTCTGGGTATTAGCAGACAGTCCCCATCTTGTCCGGATTCAGCCGCTGCAGCCCTGGATCCTGGGTGAGCCTCTTGTCTCTGCAGACCGAGCATGGAACGCACTGAGGGGTTCCACCCGCAAACCTGCTCTGAACAAAGGGCTTTGTCCAAAGACTGGGGAACTAGTGAGGCC